CTAACTTCCCTTTACATTCATCTTCATCACTCATAATAGTTTTGATGAAGATCTGGGTCGCTTTCCAATTTGATTAGCACGAAACTGCTGAAGTTGAAAGAAGTTGAAGAACGATGTTATTGTAAATTCGAAGTTAAGCGATTGCTAAAGAAAATTAGTCGCAATTTTCTCAGCGTTTCTGTAATAATAGATTGATTTGAGTAGAACGTTTTGATAATTAAAACACGTCCCTTAAGGGTAAATCGCTCCATATTGAATTTGCCGTAGCTACGAGTACAAAAAATAATTGTTACCGCACAACTGCCAAAATTGCCGCTAAAACAAAATGGCGACAAAAAGTTTATTTTTTTATTTTTATTTTAATTCGGTAAAATTTATGATTACTTTCTGAAACTCACATTCATTCTGCTCTCGGAGCCGTTGCTACCCGTTTTTTTCTTTATGGAAAAATGCCTAGGAAAAATGACGGTTTGGTCGAACTTGCACCGACTAAAATTAAGTGTTTCTCAATATTTGCCGCATAAAGGTAGGACCAAGGGAACACTTGTTCACACACAAGAAAACATCCGCGTCCCTACCAGTACCGGGCAACACTTTGTGGTCCCTCCTCGGGAGAGGAAATTTCCTCCCTATTCTTCTTATTCTTTCTGCACGGCCTCTCGAATAGCTTATCGGATCCCTCCGAGCTTGTGCGAAGGCTTTGAAAAACATGCACCCGAAAGTACCAGCCATCCCGACCCCATTAACTATTTTTTATGGCTACAGAAGACCTCTTATAGTTTAAGTTTAAGTCGACTATGACATTTTATTTCCTCGGAGAATTCCGTCTTAGTACTTTTATTTAAATATCCGTAACTGAAACAAATAGAGTGGCAGACATAATGACGATAGAGATTATGTGTGTTTAAAGGAAATTATGTTTCTTACCATAGGCATAGAAGTAAGGATTATGGTAACATAATAAAATGATTTGGTTTGATCAGTCAGTTATATACATTATACAATTAAGGTAGACAAAGGGTTTTTAGTGTACCTAATGGTAAGTGGATAGACTAACCCCTCAGAACTTAGATTGAATGCCTCGTTATCAGAAAAGGACATATAACATAACGGCCCAGTAACAATCACACAGTAGTGTAACGTGAGGGACGTAGTGACATGATAACACCAAAGTATGCAAACCAACGGCAACACGACACATCTCAGTGCAACATAGACCAGCCTCCCAGCAACTACATTGTTCATTGCTGCACTAGAAGAATTACTCCGCTAGTGTTGCAACCTCTCTGTATTTTATAGACTTGCCATCACAGCTGCGTCTGACTATCGCACGGCTTCGTGCGGTCTACGTGCGGCAGTAAACCTTCTATCATAAAAATATTGCACTTATACGATAATATCAGTAGCCGTATATCAAGAAAACACTAATTAATCCATCTTATATTTTCTACAAAATCATTTTATATTGCTACTTTGGAAAAACAGTTTGAAAAAATATTTAAGTGGACGTCCGGATGTTGATTTTGTATGTGGTCACGATAACTCCCGAAAGAATTGACGTATCGAGACCGGGTTTGTTTTATTAGCTTCATAATTACATCAACTGGTTCCCTATTTCATATCAATAGCCAAGTATGCGTAGTTTGTTAATAAATGTCTTTTTCATAAGTTTTACTGCTATTAAAAATTTTAAGGCGCTGCCATATATTTTTTAGCCTTTGATAGACAAAGAACAAATGTACCATATAACCTATATTGATTTTGTACGAGATATATTAGGTCCTTACATATGAAATTAGCGTTTTGTCGTACTGAGCACTTTGATCTGAAATATCTCATCTTTGATTAAGAATTCCAAATTCAAATTTATAAATTCATTTAGCAGGTACATTTGTGTTTTGAAAACCGTCATTCATTTGTTTTTTCCTCATTATTTTTTTCTATGGCGTCCCTTATGACCGCATAATGGGAAACATGAAATATCGGTATATTTACGAGTACGAGTTCTAACGTGGCACCAGTGCTGCAGAAACAGCTCGAAGGATTAATGATGTGTACGGCGCTGGTGTCGCAAAAGAAAGCACGGTACGTTTTTGGTTTCAACGTTTCCGTTCTGGAAATTTCGACCTTCAGAACCAACCCCGTGGCCAGCCGGAGACCAAAGTGGAAAATGAAGAATTAAAGGCTATTGTGGAAGCGGATCCATCACAAAGCAATTCAGAGATAGCTGCAGGCTTCGGGGTAAGCGATAAAACTGTATTAATCCACTTAAAACAAATCGGGAAAGTAAAAAACTTGAGCGATGGGTACCTCATGAATTGAGTGAATCCAACTTGCAAACACGCGTCGACTGCTGTGTTACTTCGCTCAACCGACACAATAATGACGGAATTTTAAATCGAATCATTATTTGTGATGAATAGTGGATGCTGTACGATAATCGGAAGCGCTCGTCGCAATGGCTGAACCCTGGAGACCCAGCCAAATCCTGCCCTAAACGAAAATTGACTCACAAAAAGCTACTTGTGAGTGTTTGGTGGACTAGCGCCGGTGTCGTTCACTACAGCTTTCTATAATCTGGCCAAACGATTATGGCAGATATCTATTGTCAGCAACTGCAAACCATGAAGGAAGAACTACCTGCTAAACAACCGAGATTGGTCAATCGCTCTAGGCCACTGCTGCTTCACGACAACGCAAGACCACACACTGCACAACAAACAATCACTAAGTTAGATGAGCTACAATTGGAATAACTGCGACTTTCACCGTACTCAAAAAAAGAAATTGACTTTATATTCCTCCCGTACAAAACGCCAATTTCATATATAAGGACCTAATATATATTTTATATACTTTGTGTAATCGATTTATTTTGGTAAACATTATTTTTTCCCTCCCTTAAAATATAAGAGCGCTAAATTTAATACACGAAAATAATATATTTTAAAAGTCAGAAATACAAATTATTTCTTTCATTCAAATTAAATGAAACGCTCATGAGGCGTGTGCTTTTGGATTGTACAATCTATTTTATAATTCTATAGATTACATTAATTTCTAACATAAGTATTATTTACTTAACATAATTTACACTACTATCATCTTCAAGTAAGACGCCATGATTCAGATTAAGAAGTATATAATGTGAATCATGAAAATAAAAAAAAAAACTCCATATCATAATTACAAGGAAAATAAATGGACTAAAGTACTTTTCACTTATGACTTACATCCACGAAAGAAAATAAGAAAATAATGTTATAGAACTCCGCGGAACGTTCAAATGTGTTCGAATATTGAAATTCTCAAATGCCCAAAACACATTACTCTTAACGATTCGATATACGTTCCAGTCGCGTACAGTAAGCACATGCAATGATGAACTATTGTGATATTTTGCAAGAAATATTAAAGTTTAAAACGGTATTTCTTTATAAAATTGCTAACGGATTTACTAGATGGTAGAACTCCTTTTCCATCTAGGTGTACGTCTTACCTATTTCATCCAAATAGCGCCAAATAACAGAGCTCGTACTACTAAAGGGTATAGAGAGCGATATCATTATTACAGATTTTGAGTGTTCAGAAATGATAACAAATCTGTAGCATTTTTGTTTGAAGTTGCCGGTAGATGTCCAGGGATTGAAGAAGCCACTTACCATCGTTTTTCTTAAGAGAAAGGGTAATAAACCAGCGCGCAGTCAATCTGATGGTAAGTGGATGCTGTAGCCCATAGATATCTACCTTTATCCTCGATTAGGAACCAAAATGCAGATGCGTTATCATCCTTGAGGACTAAGATGGAATGTCTCATTTCCAGTAAAGTCTCTCCGGTTCTCTAAACTGACCATACGAAACACAGCAGATTTAAGCTGCTATTTTACACTGGTATTCTACGAGACCGCGGTTCTACCCCGGACGAGTCGACCCATTCGTGCTACAACCATAATGTAGCTGCAGCATGGCTTTACAATGTTATCTGGTGGGCTGTAAGTTCCTTAGATACTTTACCTTAATAAAAAGAAATAGAACACAACATGAACCAAGTAAAATATATATGAAGCTGTGATAGTGACACTGTTACTAATTACATTTGTTTAGGTATGCTAAACTGTAATACCAAACTTTTTTATCAGGAAAGGTCTTTTGAAATCTATGCCTTATTACAAAGCTTAGTTTGTGTTTAGTCTTAAAGTAGAGTCTGTTTCAATAAAAAATTTTCGATTAAAATATGAGAACAAAAATGTAAAGTATCGAATTAGACAGCAAATGCCGAATTTCGCAAAGACTATGGCGCCGCGGCTAAGGAGATATTCTTTCGCGCGAAGAACTCTTCTTAAACCATAGTTTCAACCCCGGACTATCAATAAGCCATGTTTTATAGTAAGACGGATTGAGTTCCACCTTTACTGCATGGCAGATATATAGGAATTGGGAGTGAAAAACAAGAGCACACAGTATACCTGATAATAGTTACCACGTGGACTGCGTACTCTCGTTTGGAGCACACAGTACAACTGATGTAATTACTACCAGGTGGACTGCGTGCCCTCGTTTGTCACTGCCATTTGGCGGCAGATATTTTTTCGTTGGTCGATTTGATTTGACCGCGAAAGATTTTACACTGTAATATATAAACATTTTTGAAACACCTTAATTTTTTATATTATGAGTTTTATTAGAGGCGTGCCCAAACGCCGTGTATAAAAACACGCACCTGTGCCCAGCATTGGGACGTACATATTGCGTATAGGTATTGGATAAAGTAACTTTACTAGTTTTATAAGTTTCTGTTAACGTACACTTTTTACATTGAAAAAAACATTTTGACGTTGTGCTGCAACTTGTAGCTCGTAAATATTTTAATCTAACATAACGAAATCAGACTGGCAAATCGATTTTCTTTTTAGAGTTGAGATATCTTTAAAATATAGCAAGCTATAAATCTTTATTGTATTGCCAAATTTGATCATAGTAACAAAAATGTTGTATATTACTTGAATTTCGGGATGCATTTTCACGTGTATTTTACGTTTTTATTGGCAGTCCTAGTGCTGTATGTCGCTAAAGGTACTTTATGTGATCAACCCATGACGTCTGCTAAGATGCGGGAAGCAACGATACCGAAGCCCACAATTGCTTTTAGAAGGGCTGTAGCAGTTGATGAGAAGGAAAATAATTTAACGAACACAAATTTATCGAATAGTTCCGCTCGAAGAAATTGTTAGTTTCTCTTAATAACAATAGCTAGAGTATTTTTAGAAAAAATATGTTAAGTCAAAGACATTTATATATAGTACTTAACTTTTATATTTTAGGTTTTTCCTTTTAACTGTTAGATTTATTTTTTAACTTCAAATTATTCTTTTAACTGTTAAAGTTTAGTGTTTGATTTGTTTGCTGGTTATGAATTATTATCCGTTGTAATAGATATGAGAATTATACAATATTCGGAGCACCTAGTTTTCGGACGCTAATGTTTGAAAAATCAGCAATTTTTATTATCTTATGCAGTAAGAGTTAAATTTTGAATTTATCTGAAAAAAAAAATATTTACAGCATTAACAGATTTATGGAGCTGGGATTATTGGTGCCAACTACAACCAAAAACTGGAAACTGTTCAAACAATGTTATGCGGTATTTATTGTATTTCTTTTAAGGTTTATTTATTTTTTTATAGAATAAGGGTGACAAACAGGCAAACTTGATGGTAAGTGGATGCTGTGGCCCGTAGACATTTACATTTATCCTCGATTAAAAATCAAAATGGAGATGCGTTGTCATCCTTGAGGACCAAGATAGAAGAAACTACTTATTAAGTTTTACCTGCAATTTCATACGTGTTGAATAAAAAAAAACTTGCGGTCTATAATAACAGTCTGAACTATGTTTTTTGCTTTTATCTCGAGAAATGTGTGCAATATTATGGGAAGCTGTTTGAAATAAAAATTGGCGATCTGTTAATTTCGCGTAAAAACGTCTTATCACGTTAATCCTTAACTCAATAGTTACTCATAGTTTTGTTGAGAAATGGTTGTGGATAAATTCCCCTGATCTGCAAGACTAGGTGAATTGCATGTGTTATTCATGGGCGGCGTTCAGCACTTACTCTCAGCGTATGACACATTCTCGATTTTATAAAAAAAGCATTTTAATTTCTGTGTAAAATTGCAAATGATAAAAGTTTCGTTCGAAAAATATTTTATATATTTTACGAACAAATTTTTTATGATTGCTTAATTTTGACCGAGTAATAATTGTTAAATGCAAAAAACGTGTCGAAACTTGTGGTATGAACGAATATAAAATTCATTTTAGTTTTAGCTCACGTTTCTGTATAGAGCGGCCCAAACCTTTAATAATCGAGTTCTTTCTGATCGGTTTGACTTGTCTTTCTGTTGTATTATTTGTTATTTAACATCAAAGTATTAATACGTTATTAAAATTTTAGATATTACTACGACATCGAGGTAGCTCAGTGCGTGAACTTCACTTATAGTGGTTGTGGTGGCAATAATAATAATTTTGACAGCAAAGTGAACTGCGAAAAAAATTGTGACGGTAAGAACTATCGTATTATCTATCTGTTGTGACTTGGCAATAAACGCGTAGTCACTTGTTGGCAGTTTTGAGAACTACGTCCTCTAGTCAACTTAATCCCGTATATTTAATTCGATATTACATTCAATATCATCTATCAACATTTTATTTTCATTTTGAGTTGTTAAAAGGAAGACGCTTCTGGCAATCTCCTGGTTTGTTTCCCTCTGTTGCCTTGTATATATGTATGTATAATGTTAATGTCTGTATGCCAGTGGCTGCCTTTATAAATGCGTTAACTACGTAAACGGTTTTAAGATTTTATTACTTCCGTCCGAAAAAAGTATGAGTGTCAATAAAGTCGAACTTATAAAAAAGTTTTACTCTATATTATATCTTATGCTTACAATAATAAGAAGATCTTACTATGCAAGTTTAAAAGCTAAAATAAACAGCTAATTTAAAATTCACTTAGTAATTAATATTTATTTTTAATCAGGCGATATTTACTTGTTTTTTTACGAATTCCTTTTATGAAAACTTTCAGACGCTACTTATATGTCACTAAAAGAAGAGATGCCAAATTTTTGCTCCCTACAGCCGGATCCTGGAACGTGTTTATCACTTCGGACAAAGTAAGTGTATAATATAAAGTATTGACTCATCAACATGATGTGAATTAAAAAAAATAAATATTAAGGCACGACAAAAACACGGCAGTCTAGTCTAGCCATCAATAACGTATCATATCCGTATATAAAGCATTTAAAGACCGTATCATCCCCGTTCATTATATATATATATATATATATATATATATATACTAGTTCTCGTCAGACATACCTCAAAACTTTAAAACGAAATTGTACAACCAGTGCGTGTTGCCAGTGATGACTTACGGAACTGAGACGTGGTCCTTCACTGCTGGCCGTATGAGGAAGCTCAAGGTCGCTCAGCGAGCTATGGAGAGGGCTATGCTCGGAGTTTCTCTGCGTGATAAACTTAGGAATGAGGATATCCGCAGTAGAACCAGAGTGACCGACATAGCCCAACGGATTAGTAAGCTGAAGTGGCAGTGGGCCGGCCATATAGCTCGAAGAACCGACAACCGATGGGGAAGAAAGGTTCTCGAGTGGCAGCCTCGTACCGGTAGGCGAAGTGTAGGGCGTCCCCCCACGAGATGGAGTGACGACCTGGTAAGACATGCAGGAAGTCGATGGATGCAGGTGGCTCAGGACCGTGCTTTGTGGCATTCTTTGGGGGAGGCCTATGTTCAGCAGTGGACTTGTGAAGGGCTGTAATGATGATGATGATACTAGTTGGCCAATCAGACGTTGTTCTGCGCTTTCCGACAACCCTGTGTCCTATAAAAATTCTTAAATTCGTAATAAAAAATATTGAGGGTCACTTATAGGGATAAAAACTATCCTAGCTCTCAAGTTGGACCAAACTGCAAACAGTGTGCAAAATATCATTGCAATCAGTTTAGTAGTTTAGGAGTTCATCGCGGACAAACAACGTGATATGTAATTTTTATATATAAAGATATATACATACATATACATACGACTATCGACTACCGTTAGGAGGAGCTAAATGTTTTTTTGCTGTAAAGTTTTTTATATTACGAGTACAATTTTTGCGTCATTGTACCATTTTTTTTAAAAACGTTATCCCCACACTAGGCTTTTTAAACACGCTTTTACTAGCTTCGCCTGTATCTATTTATCTATGTAACGGAATCTTTTAATGTAATTTTCACCAACTTGTAGACAGCCGAATGACTTGGACTATCAAGGACTTGGATTATCAAGAACCGATGACAATACAATAGTTTAATAACTTTATCCTAGTATCCTGATCGAGATCACCAGGATAATTCTCTCTGGAATCATCACAGCTCATGGTCAAAGGGTGTTTTTTAGGTTTTTTAAGTTTTAGTATTATTCTCTTAGTATTATTAAGTAGTATATATAGTAGTATAGTATAGTCTTAATATTATTCCTACATAGTAGAGGCAGCTTACATATATTTATTTCACAGTGAAAAACCCATTTACCTATACGGTGATTTAGAGAAAATTATCAGTACTAAGATAATTAGTAATGACTCCAATTATTTTGGTTGCTTGTGAGGATACGAGATTATAATTAAATTATTTAAGGTTAGACGAAATTTTGGAGTTAGACGTCTAGTTAGTATCGTTTAGTTAGAATATTCAACCATTATTCAAAACCATTTTTTATATTCATGTAACATACCATTCGATATTTTTCCATATGAATATAATTCAGGATATTAATTTTATTTGCCATAGGTACTACTACGACATTAACAATCGTGAATGCAAAGATTTTCAATATGGGGGTTGTGGTGGTAATCGCAATAAATTTGACACTAAACAGTCCTGTCTGCAAGAATGCAGTGGATCTTAGTAAAATGCGTATGAACATGCATTTATTATTATTGATGTTGTGTGATATTAAACTGTAATAAATACAATAATACATAACAAAATGCTTTTTATTATTTCAATGTTATTAGTTTTATGCTCAGTTGCTATATGTATATGTTTAAAAACAAAACGTTGCTTTTTGAGTAAGATCTGCAGTTTACGAGGGCGACACTGAGTGTTTTTAGAACTGGCCACTTGAAAATGATATAATAAAAAAATAAGTTCAAATTTTGAAAATGGAACTCTTTGCCAATATTATTGTGTATGCATTTTATTAATTTGTCAGTTGTTTATGATTTGGCGGTAAATTGAAAATTGTCTGTGTCACGTCAGCATGAATTTAACGCGAGACAACGTTCTTACAATGATTTTTATGACTTTCGATTCATTTAAGTCAACAAGAAAGTTACGATAGACTTCGTTTGGCTTTTCACGAAGAAGCCCCATCTCGTGCCACTGTTTACAACTTTTTTAATTAGTTTAAACGTGGTCGCACTAATCTCACCGATGATCTGCGTGAGGGACGGCCTTCTACGGCGACGACTGAAGATAATATCAGTGTTGTGCGGCGTATGATAGAGACTGACAAAAGAATGACTTATCAGCAAATGTGGACAAGTTTAGGCATCGGTATGAGTCAAGTGCACAAAATCCTCTATGAAAATTTGGCGGTTAGAAAGCTTTGTGCAGGGTGCATACCTCATAATTTGACAGAGGCCCAAAAACTCCGTCGTGTTGATTGAAATGGTTCAAAGATTTAACGGAGGAGACTCAAATGCTGTGTTCAATATATCTACAGGTGACGAAAGCTGGATTTACTGTTATGATCATGAAACTAAGAGACAATCTGCTGTCAGGGTGTTTCCTTTCGAGGAGTTGCCAACTAAAACGCGGGAAAAAAGATGGTGGCCTAGTTCTTCGGAAGGACAGGTCATTAGGCAACAATTGGTTTAAAGAATCGAAAATCAGTTACCGCAGAGTGCTACACTAATAATTGTTTGCCACTTGTCTTGGAAAAAGTTTAGAAAAAACGACCTCGAAGTAGGATTCTCCTTCACCACGACAACGCCTCGTCGCACACCGCCAAACAAACTTGGCGACGTCAGACGTGGAATTACTGGGTCACCCGCCTTATAGTCCCGACCTCGCCCCTTGCGATTTTTATTTATTTACGAAAATAAAAGAAAAACTCCGAGAAAAACGTTTATGGACGCCGAAGATGCAGTGGCTGCGTTTCAAAATGCCATCGAAGAGAACCCTAAGGACGAGTGGGCAAAGTCATTTTCTTAGTGGTTCTATCGGATGGATTTATGAGCGCTATTATTAGGTATTGCATATTAATCCTTACGAACGAAAGTTACATCATCAAGAAAATTTTATAAAGATAAACTTTACTCATTTTAGCATGTTATTTGAACGCATAGTTTAAGAGATAAATTAAAATTAAAATAATTCAACACGGCTCGGCACACGAACGACGCCAAGCTACCCAATGAGAGCCGAAAAAGAATGAGCGAGGTATTATATCGCGCGGCTCAGAACGTGATATACGCGGGTGATACCGCGGAGAAAAGCTAGTTCAGTATAAAGTGTGCGGTGCTTTCAAAATTGCTAATATAACTTTTAAATGTAAAGTACAGAATTAAAACATTACAAATTTATTAACAAATAATTAAAATTAATTATATTGGATAAAATTATCATATCCAAGCATTCTTAACTATCCACGATTTCATATCATACCAATTTATATTAAATTAGTCTATTTTACGGACCACCTGAAGAGTCAATCAACTTTTGATTCCTTGTTCGATAAAATTATTTTACCTATAGAATTCATTGAATACTTCAGCAGTCGTCACTATTACAAATCAATTTAAGTAGAAAGAAAATATTATTTTAATTTAATACACTAAAATTTAGGCTAAAAATAAGTAATTTCATTTTTGGTTGAAAATCACCAAATTAAATAAATCATATGCTCTGATATGTTTTTGTTTTATATTTCATTTCATTTAAAGGTTTCACTTCTACCGTGTGTGTGAGCTGCACACATGTTTTTTTTTTTATAGAATATGGTTGATAAAGACGCACACAGTCCTCTTGCTGTAGCTCGTAGACATCTACGAGTACATTGAATCTCGATTAAGAATCGAAATGCAGATGCGTCGTGTAATGTTGGAATGTGTTAAAAGAAAATATGAGAGGTGTTGCTCAGTTCAAGACGTTAATTATACTGCTCTTATTCTACCTTTACACTAATATATACATATTCATGAGGGCTACACTACAGTCGTCACCCAAGAAGACTAAGACGGAATGCCTGGTTTCCAGTGAAGAGGGTCACTCCGGTTTTCCAAAATTACCATTTGAAACACAGTAGCATTTATCTGCTATTTTACGCTGTTATTCAGTGACAGCGAAGACCTTACTTTGCCCAGTTGATTCACTCATGCGTATGTAACCCACAAACTTATGCCGCACAAACTCATTGTGGTTCAGAAGCAAGACCGCGTAAAATCGTGCCATGACGTAATTATTATAAATACGAGTATGTTTACGACAATTACAAGTGATAAATCTAAGCTTCTCATGATTCAGAAGCAAAATCGACGCCAGTCGACGGTTTAGCTATTTTGAAGCAAACCAAATTACCAAAGTGAAGTGGACGACAAGAGCAGGGAAGATTTTGAGCAATTTTTTCACTTTGACGGGGTATCCGGTGTCAATTCTCTTACGAAATGGAATTAACATCGATTCCGAATGTTATACTATCAAATGCTTGCCAAAAGTGTTCATTGCTGTGAGCGCATACGGGAATTTGCAGGTTTATTATATAAGTTAATTTCTATTCGTGTGTTGAGAGTATTGATAGTATTAGTATTTGAGTCTGTTGTTACTTGAGCTGAAAATTAACACTTTCTTATGTTTATTTCACTTTAAATAAACTCCTAGTTACTTTTCATATAACATTTCACCTAAAATACACACCGTAATAAAGATAACTCTCCTAATTAATGGTAAAGTTTCTGCATTAATGTTCAAACTACGGGCTACGGTTACAGTTTTAACTTTATTAGTTTCCTAGTTTCAATATTTGTTTAAAAGTATATTTTTATATCAACTGTTTAGTTAGGTTACGTGTGCAATTTTTAATTTTAATATCAAGTAGTATACTACCTCCTTTTTATTGGAGACTTTAATTAAAATTGAGGAGTTATTGAAAATCGCAGTAGCTCAGCGACTAAGCGTTTACCGTAAATTTTAAGTACGCTAGCAATTTGAGTTTAATCCTCACCGGCACTAATGACATTATTAATTGCAAGTTTAAGTGCTGATTTACCACGTGTTCAGCGGGGAAAGAAAACGTATTGAGGAAACTTTAATTCGAGGGCATAATACGAGTATGAAATCTGTCAATACGCATTAGGGCTTTCAATTGTATATGAAGTACTCGGTAATGCCTAGGCCGCACACGGCGATAGTATTCCGGCAATAAAACTTCGCCTTCGGTCTACGGTAAATATGCCTGGCCACATTGCTCGTCGTAAAGTTTATCGATGGTTTATCGTGATAAACACACGCTTTAAACAAAATGGACGCCGCGGTCACTCTATATTATATGGCATCGAATAATTCCTTTTTAATACGGTTTTGGCAAAAAGGGAGAGCTTTAGATGCCTTCATTATTAATTTATTCAAAATGTCTCATCAAATTATTCATCTTCTCATTACTTAAAAAAAAAATGTCATTGTCGAAAATATACCGCAAACTCTAATTTACTTCAACACGTCCGCTACTCACGGTGTCTGTGGGTCAACAGAAGCACACGATTAAAGAAACCGTTACTCATGTGATAGAAGTGTGGCCGCAAAAGCAAAGTTCATCGTTATCAAACAGATTTGCGAGAATTATAGACACCGTACACTGCAGACTTTCTATCGGGCTAGAATTTAGTCAGTTTGGGCTGCTAGTGCTGCACAATGGGCCAATTAAACAGTTGGGTTAGTGGTGAGTGCGCAGTGTGCGCCAGCCAACAGTTGGCCGATCGTTTGCGAAAAAATTGTAGTTAGTAACCAGATATTGAAGCAAGTAGTCACTTAATGAAACCTAAATTATTATCCAGAAATATTATTATTATTGCTATTATAGAACGAAGGAGACGGAATAAGGAGAGACACCGAGAGTACTGTGACAGATTACTTATTCCCCCCATTAATTTCCCATATAAAACTTACATCATTGTACTCTTTCAGCTGTTTCTTATAAAGCGCAGATCGTTTTTAACTTCCTCTATCAACTGTTAAATAAATGATTGGAAGCAGCGCCATTTTGATGCATGCGCAAGTCAAGGAATTGATACACGATTCAATTAAAAATATAATTTTTATTGAACATAACAGAGATACAGTGTTCAGCGAATTCTGAGAACAGATTGACAATAAAGTGGAATATAATTTACATATAGTTGGAAATAACTTGGAACAAAACTTATTCTCATGAACGTCAGCATAATTTGTTCCAGATAATTTTTATTATGTATTTTTCAATATTCAATATAATTTCTAAAGTTAATTGGAAACAACAGGAAACAAAGAGTATCTTATAACTTATTCTCATGAATGTCAGCATAAGTTGTTCTAGAACATTTTATAATGCATTTTGCAATATTTTATACACGTGTGAAGTAAATGCTGTGTGAACCTTTTCAACTTGTTGCTGTACTTTGCTAAGTGCTGACAAAGCATATATCTACAGGCTGAGTATCCTTAACTCCTCCCCCACTAAGATGTAAATCAACTGAGACAAATCTTTTGGTTCCAGATGATTACCTTTTAACAAAATTATTTTCTTAAAGCCCTTAAATTTAACGGCCAAATAAACGAATGTAAATATAGACATTATTATTGTAATACTTATTGCCCATACACTTATATCTTGAGTTATCAAAATTTCACTTGTATCAACACTTTTACTAT